AAACGAAGTGAACACTACAGTATATAACTTTTATAACTTTTATAACTTTATATTGGATCCCTTTACTTTACAATACTGTAACGATTCCAATAGAAAATGAAGTGAACACTACAGTATATAACTTTTATAACTTTTATAACTTTATATTGGACCCCTTTACTTTACAATACTGTAACGATTCCAATAGAAAACGAAGTGAACACTACAGTATATAACTTTTATAACTTTTATAACTTTATATTGGACCCCTTTACTTTACAATACTGTAACGATTCCAATAGAAAACGAAGTGAACACTACAGTATATAACTTTTATAACTTTTATAACTTTATATTGGATCCCTTTACTTTACAATACTGTAACGATTCCAATAGAAAACGAATTGAACACTACAGTATATAACTTTTATAACTTTTATAACTTTATATTGGATCCCTTTACTTTACAATACTGTAACGATTCCAATAGAAAACGAAGTGAACACTACAGTATATAACTTTTATAACTTTTATAACTTTATATTGGACCCCTTTACTTTACAATACTGTAACGATTCCAATAGAAAACGAAGTGAACACTACAGTATATAACTTTGGTGAAGTAAGGTCAAGAAAGCTTCGGACTGATAGGAATGCAACTTTACCTGAAAAATACAAGCAGAACTTCGACATTTCGCCAGTAAAGGCCCTTCGTCGGAAACTTCGCAGGAACCGTTGAATTTCTTCTCGTATTTTTCATGTACAGCAGTTGTATACCTATCCATCCGAAGCTTTCTTATTATTGGGACTATACCTACACAGACCGTTAAATTAAATCCTGAGTTATTTAAAGCTGATGCACTCCACACGACAAGTTAAGCATATGTAAATTCGGGAATGAGTTGCACTTCGATTAAGCCAGGCGCACACACTGCGATTTTAGTCGGCCGATTTAAGGTTTGGGTGTATGATATTGGCAAATCTGGCGATTTAGATGAGCCCACAGATCCTATCACTGATTGCTTTTGCTGAAAACATCCATCTAAACCTGAATCGGCCGACTAAAATCGCAGTGTGTTCGCCTGGCTTTACATGCACTTAAAGGGGCAGTATGATCAAATTTTTTAGTCTCTTAAACCAAAGCTTAAACGAAAATGCTTGAGATATTTCTTTTGTTTGTAACCATGTGACGTCATCTACTCAATTACATATATAATGAGATATTTACATCACGAACAATTTCGCTTTGCCAACTTCGCTTGCCTATTTTCAGCTTGTTCTGGATATATCGTCTTCTCAGTGTTTTCCCAAACGAGAGCAACCCAACGAGAGCAAACCAGGAAATGAATGTGCAGGGACGGGAAGATGAGAATAAATTGTCTGTTTGTGAATCTCATTAACCCCTGCTAGGAGGCTTTGATACAAAAACAAATAACATTCTTTCAAAACAGGTTAATTATAGAAACCAAACAACAAACTGTTTGACGTTCTCATCTTATGAATATTAAAAATACTATTTGTATTTGTGAATGATCTACAAGTAAAGGTCCAGGCACAACGGACTCAATTCGACAACGCAACGCGATTTTTTAGCTTATGAATGTTAATAAAACAGCCAATGAGAGCAAATTTTGACAGATATGTAGACCAAATAACTCAAAATGTTATACCGCTTCTAAATATTTGGAAAATTTAAACTAGAATCAAAGTTATCGGCCGGTCAATGAAATTCGAAAAATCGCGTCGCGTCGTCGAATCGCGTCCACTGTGTCTGGGACATTTTAGGCTGATTCCCATTCGGTGGAAAAAGTCGCGCAATCGAATTTTTGTGACCACTTTCTTTTGAAATACAAGCAATCAAGCGCAACGGATGAGGTTGACTGCACCAATGCTGGAGTCAACCTCATCCGTTGCGCTTTTTCCACTGAATGGAAATCCGCCTTAAGGAGTGAGATATTTTGTGATCACACCAGGTACAAAAAACACGATACGTTTAAATTACTTTGTCTTGCACGCTTTCCATTCCGTGCTGTACACCAAACATTGTACTAAGCGAACTGGTCATATTAAGGCTTTGAATAGAAAGGTACATATATCACTTCCTAGAACTGAATCGTCGCACTTTCGGAAATTGCATGTCGGAGTACAGTAATACTACTGGACTGTTAATTTTTTAATATCGCTAGAAATAGTGCTTGGAACATTAAGAAAACGAACACATTTTGCAGTTGATCTCAGTGAACTCTTCGACCAACTTTTACACTTTTTTTATGCCCTTCCAAATTCCCGTGTGGTCCCATTTTTTATTTCATAAAATGATATATTTTAGTATTTTGAATTATTCTCATGATTTAAAAAAATTCTATCATGGCAAAAGAAAAAAATTATTTCGAATTTTCACATTTTCCTATCTTGAAACAATTCGGCATGACAAAATTTTTTAAAATTAGAAAAATAATTCAAAATGCAAATAATTATTTTATGGGATAAAAATTGGGGGTAACCAACTTTTTTGGACAACCAGGGCCTTTTGTTTCAAAAAACGCCCTGGGAACGAGGTTGTTTTTTCGAGTTAAATTACTTTAAACATAAAACATCCGCAATGTCTTGACGTCATTGCTGCAATAGAAACTGTTGTTAGGAGTAGTTTTTGAAAAATTCAGAATTCTTTAATTATCGTGTTATGCCAGTCAGATATTCTTTGTTTTTAAAACAAGTAATAATTGGCCAGAAAATCATAACCAAATCAGAAAATATTTTATTTAAAAAAGTGTATGGAGCCACCTTAATCATAATTGAAACTTGAACGTACAAAAGTATACAGAGAGCCAGAGGTTAGAAACACTACCATGTAACTTGCACAATATACATCAAGATAACCCATGATCCAACTAAATCCGTTCCTCAGAATTTCGCTACATTTTCGTGGCAAATACACGTGTTGTGTGGTATATTAGGGTAACCCCTCTCAGTTATATGTACTGTAGAATAACCACTCGACTGAAACTAAAACTAAAATGCCAGTTCAACATGAACTGGAGTGCTAAAGTCATATTTTGCAATTTTAATTTCATCAAAGACAGTTGTCCAAAAAAAGGTGTGCGACAATGAATTCGCTTCATTTCGCGTTTGTGTTTTTCCAACTCCAATTCGAATGAAGTCCACGTACAAATCTTTCGTTCTTGTGATTGCATTTTATTTTTTAATGTTTTTTCAAGTTTTTTCAGGCCAGTCCTGGTCATCTGCAAAACTAACATTTTAGCTCTTCGCATATTTAAATGACGAAAAATTTCGATTCTAAAATTTGCCTTAAATTTTTGACAAAAAGTCATTTAAAATTTCTTTAACCGTTGCATGCAATTATCCGCCTATTCGCATTGTTTTAATTTTGTTATATTTCTTCGTATTGATTATTTTGAAAAACGTTAATTTAGATAACGTTTCACTTGAAATTCGGCTCACGTCGCCGGGCGATCATGTGGGCAATGGAAAAAATCTTGCCACATTCACAAGCTATCAATATGCGTGAATCATCACCAAAACAAATACTTGCCACATTATAAAATGTATTATTTCATCCTGGTATCCTGCACTTGATAGCTGCTGTTGGCATGACGTTGCAATTAGTTGGTCAATATATGGGTGGGATTGAGTATACTGGGTCTCTGCAAATCAGTCCTCAACATTTATAGAAATACATGTGTAGCCTACTTTGAAATGATCTCAACCGTCACGACCGAAATGAAAACCAGGGCAGAGTACATAAAACTAGTGTTCAAATACATTTTGACGTGTTTTACTCATTGTATTTAAATTATTTGTTACAGCAGCATGGCCTATAAAATATGATGGTCTGAAAACTGAATAGAAGTTACTGCATTTTTATGTGCATGGTCGCGTGAGCTATTACGGTTTTATCTAAGTGTTTGTGCACGGTCGCGGTGATTAATCTCATTGTATTTTCGTATAATAGAGTAACCGCCCAATAGGGATAGCTGAAATGAAACGTGCAAAAACGAAGAATAATGTTATTAATGAATTTGAGAAAAGTATTTGTGCATGGTGAGGTATAATTCAAGTGTTCAGCATCAAACAAAGGCCTTCTATTTTGTCGCTTTGAAGTTTAGCGAGCTTTCAGACCATCATATCTTGAGAGACTAGCTACGACAGCAGTAAACCCTAATATACGTTATATTGTGTTGGTTAGTGTTATCACTGGATAACTTTGCCTAATTAATTTCCGCCTGCTAAAAACCGTTTCTGTGTAGACAGGTAACGATAGATCTACAACAGATTAAAGCTTATATTCCTAATAACGGTAAAGTCTTTTCGAGCCACTGGCACTGGCCTCTTCATCTCCGTCTTCATAATTATAATGATGCGTCCACCGGGTTGGCAATCGAGTCAAATTCATTCCGAAACGTGGTTGTGCGTATGCTCTCTGTCGGGACTAAAACAAAAAGGTTACGAATTATTGTTTTTGTGCCATTTATACGAGCGAAATAAACAATGTGAAATATCAAGACCGAGGTTTTTTAGTATGGACAGAGCGACGAAGAACCGAGATCCATGCAAAAAACAGAGGTCTGATATTTCACAGTTCACTATATGGCTGAACTGAGTCTGTGAGCATATGCTTTTCGCGCGAATTAAATCGGCTATCGTCAGTTTCACTGGGTACGTAACAATAGATAGCTTAACATCTAGGACGTCGACGTGAGCTAGGACGTCAGGGTTAAGCAGAGGACTGAGACTACATTAGGACGACATCCTAGACCAAGTCCTCTGCATAGCCCTGACGTGCTAGCTGACGTTGACGTCGTAGATCTTAAGCTATCTAATATACGCTAGGAATGCATGCTCAATCAAAAACAATTTGGTTGTTTCAAATTGTTATCTGTACAGCACAATTGGAAATTTAAAAAGCAAAAATGTTTTCTGTTTGCAAAGCAAAAATTTCCCGCCAGATAAACGACATCTGGGACACCGGTCCAGATACGGAAAATGCGGACCACGGTCCGGATATGGGTTTTTACGGACCGCTTGTCAACCAATCAGAATAGAGAATTTTGAAAAGTCATATAATAATATGGCTTATTACTCTAGAGGCTGTGGTAACACCAAATTTATCTAAATCGATTCCCAATCGACATCATTCTTTGTACATTGTAGATTTTTAATATTTTCACTACTTAGGTCCTTTATTTTTATTGCAATTAAAATTTTATTGACAGAGTACGACAAACAAGATGTCGATCAAAAAAGAAGAAATAAATTATAAAATGCTCAAATGTAATCACAACGTATCAAATTCTTTCTTTGCTTCGACCAAGACACTTTCATTTTTCTATTCACTTTATTTCAAACTCCATAAGAATTTTCCTCATACCTGTTTATGATGTCTTCGTTTTCTAAGTTGAAAGAAAACTACCAAACAGATAATAAACAGCAAGACGACCACGATGATAGCAGCAATAATAATTACCAAGTTAGCTGTAAAATAAAAAGTGGTTATGGGCGTAGCAAACGTCGAATGGGAGGAGAGATCTAGTCTCCCGGCAATCCGCGAGAATGTTCGCTAGGGAAATTTTTCTATTTTTAGGTATTTTAGACCCATTTTATTATCACCTGAAAGCCACAGATTTAGTATATTTTATGTCATAGATGAAAACATTACGAGGTTATTATGCCCCTCGCCGTTTCTCCTGAGTTTTGTTAGAATTACAGAATTACTGAGTCATGCAAGTTTGGGGTTCGGACCTCCTTTCCCGTCCCCTATTCCCCCCGTATCTACCTCTCTGATATTGATTTAGGTCATTTCCCGCAACTTATTCCCTTCAGGCGACCGCTGGAATAAAGTTTTTATAAAGGTTTTAAAACATTGACTTCACGATACTTACACGAACTAGGAGAGTCTTTCGTTGTAACTTCTATTCTTAGTTTATCCCCATCGCCTTCGTCATTGTATCCATGAACCGTAATCACGTAAAATGTATCGCCCTGCAGATCACTCAACACTACATTTAACTCTCCTGATGTTATTTTCTGAGTTTTGAATTGTGTTTCAGGTGTCGTTTTATGGCTAACTATGTAGCCATTGATGACGAAGAATTCGTGGCCAATTGGTTTGTTCCAACTTAAGTCAATTCTGGTTTGTGTGACATCTGTATGTGTAAAATTTGTCGGTTCTGGAGGCGTTCCTGGAAGAGTTTGATACGAACATCAATTTGAAAGTGGTGATGTTAAAGACGTTCTAAAATCTAACTACTGTAATTAAGCTCTAAATTTGTGCTGAGAAATACAACAAGAGCGGAACAGTGCGGAGATAGCTTTTACAAAAACTACAAAACTCTGCGTTATTCGTATTTGTAGATCATCTTTGAGAGAAATTCGATATCAAAGACACGTCCACATTAAAGCGTTAATCCATGAGTTTTTATGTGAATTTCTTAAGCGATCGTAAACTGTCAACGATAGAACAAATGTGGGATTGAATAACTATCATGAATGCGAGATCAGGTGGTGACAAAACATCTGGTAAACATAACCTAATTTTACAGTTATCCATGCAACAAATTTGAAATATTTAAATCAAGAAAACTAAACATTAAGAGCTTAATGGCCGATTACATTCCATAACTGTCGCATGCAATTTGCTTAAGCTTCGGATACACGAGCAATATTTTTACTGCGATGGTTACGCAATGGGTGATAACAGCATTGCGTTGCCGTCGCACAAGGTGGCTACACCTGCAATATTTCACCTGCAATGTATGTTATCATAACGCTTTCCATTGGCTGGTCAAGAAACGTGTCACTCATCAACCTTGACCTTCCTTGACCACACCTCCCAATTTTCGGCAATCATTGCCAAAAATCAAATAATTTGAAATTTCGGCAACGATTGCGCGCAGCATTGCGTTGCCGTCGCAAAGCATGATACACAAACAATTTCTTTCTCGCGACGGCAATGCAACGATTTTACCACCATTGCATTGCCATCGCCAGAAAAATATTGCCCGTGTATCCGTTGTATTATGTAACTGAAGCACTGACACAACCCCGCTACGTTGTCGTAGGTAAGTTGCTTCATTTGCACAATACAACTCAAGTTGTAAGCAGGTTACATACGACAGTTTTTGGCAGAACTTGTGTAGTGTGAATCCGCTTTAATTAAAAATACAACTTTTTTGACCCTCGCTATACAGTGGAACCTCGTAATACGACCACAGTTCGGGGAGAGGGGTTCATATTAACAGGAGGCGGATCAATTACGGTAGAGATATTTTTTAATGGCGTCATGCCAAAAATGTTATAGTCCACTATGCATGTATATACATTTATAATGGTGAACGAACTCGCTTTTTCAATCAAGAAAGCCATGCACATAATGGTTCTTACCTTGAATTTGAACACTCTTTAGCTTAAAATTTCCAAGATTCCCAGTTTTAATAATTTTCTCTTTTACTGTTTCTGCAACTACAGTTTTCTTGTTTTCTCCTGGATCGTCTCTGTATTTAATCTCAAAATCCACAATGGTGGACCCATTCCTGCAAGAATGAAGCATACATAGGCTACAAATGTCGAAAGTCTCGACTGTTCGAAATGTTCGAGGTTTTGTGATTTGGCTGACTACCAATTATGAAACCCTCATATTAACTCAATAGCTGACCAAATATTATGGACTTTTGGCATAATGGAAGCCAACCAAGCCAGTCATAAATGGTTTTGAACATCTGAACGTACTACTTATTTATGATTTATTAAAAAGATCAATTTTAATTAGCGGTCAACGACTAATTACATCGGTTCAAAAGATTAAAATTCATAAATAAGAAAGAAAAAATCTGCAAGTGGGAAAAGAACATGATATATTATTTCGACTAAATAAACCCTCGGGCGCGGTTGTCTTTTCGTCTTTTAAATAAATATTAATGAAACGATTACTGAATTCGATTTTCGCAAGATATGAAGAATTATCAAGCTCTTAGTTTGTGTCATCAACGTGAGCCTTCAGCATAGTTAACACAAACTTGAGGGCTGATAATTCTTTATATGAACCTCCTTCAATAATTGTTAAATATCGCACTTTGGCTCGTACGCCGTCCCCAAACAAACACCAATGGCGACCTAATCATTCGATATTATGGTCTTCCTTCAGAGATCAATTTAAAGTATGACCTTAGGCTATATTTTACCTAGTCAAATCAGCCATGATATGACATCTAACTTTACTACTTTAACAGGATAACGGGAAAAAAACTTGTTTATGCGACATGAGGAAACATCTTCCAATCTACTAACTGACATTGTAGAATTCCATCCTTGGCTACGCACTAGTGACTTTAATTTACATAATAATAACTAGCCTACGAACTTTTCCTATAATGTCCATACGTTTCAAAAACTTTGTTCCGGAGTAGTTAAAGGAATTTAAAAAAGTTGAAACACTGTATGTTCGTACTCATTTTTTAAAGATTACCTGAATCCCAGAATAACTATTTCTTTAAAGTTTGGTGTGTCTTTAAATATTTCAGTTAACTAAACAAAGAAATTTAACAATATGAGTCAATTCAGACTATTATTTTTTGAAAGATTCATGTTTTTTATTAGCTAACAGCCAACTGTTTATCGTCATATTAATCAATAACAGGCAAAAATATTGATGCCAACTTGGAGATGCCAACTGAGGGGCTCAAATCAACCTCGTACTCAAGCTTTTTTTATCTACGCTTCACGCTTGAGAAGAAAGACCCTGGTCCAGGCTGGTTACGTGTCACCCATAATTTTGGAGATAGCAATTGGGACTCACAGTTGGTAGATAAATAAAATGTGACGTTTGAGTTGTAAACAGTATAAGAAGTATAAATAAAGAACTCAAAGAACTACCATGAAACGAAGTTTTTGTTAGCATGTACAGTATTTTTCTTAGAAAACGTTATGGCGGTAAACGGTTACTGTAAGGGCCAAAATGGTCGAAAGCTGGCTGGACGTTTGAATTTAATCTCTTCAACGTTAGTATATAATCAATAGATGTCACTCGTCTAACTCAACAACACAGACTTGCACGGGTTCAGTTTTATATCAACAAGAAACGGCAGAATCTTGTAGAAAATTGTTGTTCAGTGTTGAAATTGGCAGAACATTTACTTAACGAGAGTCATGGTTAAATTTTATTTTGTATCTGTGAACTAGCAATTATACAAACCATTGCTCGCGTAAAAAAGTTTGTGGTCGATTTTCCAATTTTGCTGGCCTATCCCAAATTGTGAAAAAAATTGTTTTTACATGGTCTAGCTTTGCTTAGTATGTGAACATGTCGCCCCTGTGAACGAAAGTCGAGTATACTATGATTTTCTAAATTTATGAACTGCACATGTTCACTGTGAAGAATAAATAAGCATTAATAAATAGCGTATTTGGCTCAATATTCTCTATAATAAATCCTTTATTTGAGGTATTTATAGGAGCATATTTATTTGCAATCGATTGTTTCTGCAATGTTTTTCTCTTATAGTGGAATATGATCAATGATTACATAAAAGTGTATGTACATTGCGCAGTTCTTTTTTTAGCCGGAAAAAGCTTTATATTCTTATGAGTCAGAGTCAGTCTGAGCCACGTTTTCTACGCAGAATTTTCCCTTAAACATCTTCGCTTCATATTTTATTTCTTATACCAAGCGTTTTCATAGTTACGGTTTTAAAATAGCAAGTTCATTTAGTCTCTATTCCTTATATATTCTTATATGATGACTTATTTTTTCCTTTGCCGTCCACCGTTTGTCGGTATGAAGGCAAAGCTGAAATTCAACAAAAACATGTGGACTTGAACGGTTGAAAAGTTTGTTGGTTCGCTGCAACCAGGTATATCAATCATGTTTCGCTCGCTACTCTGGTTTAAATAAATGATTACAAAGCCCAGTCGAATTGTAATCAAGACCCAACGTTTCGACAGTCTAGTGTCTTCATCAGGGGTGATCTAAAACTGCGATCGTGGCTTCTTAAATACCCCAAGGGATGACGGCAGCTGCCAAGAAGGTGCATATATTCTTCTGGCAAATAGGCACCGTCATCCCTATTCAAAGCATGATGACTTATATTTATATGCTACGCTTCTAAGAAAAGTCTTTGACCATAGCGATTGTTTGTGGTAATTACTGTGTGCAATTACTTTTATATCAAATCCACAGACACACAGACAAATACTTGTCATACGACTCTCATCTCGTCACCTAGTAAGCCACAAAAGATCCGTAGAAACAACTTTGCTTCAAAGAGCTAAATCGTAGCCGTCAAACAGTGATTCTTAAGCTAATGAACGTGAAGATGTTCTAAATGTTTTAAGGGAAAACAATTACCCAAAGCGTTTTCTTAATGATTGACTGAGACCATCTGTTTAATTTGTAGGAACCAAAATAACTCCGAGACTGATACATCTGTTAAGGGTATTGCAATAGTTCCATACATTCAAGGTGTCACAGAAGCAATCAAGGGAATCTTAAGTAATTGTAATTTTAAGGTTGTCTTATTTGACTTTAGGCCATATTTTCGCAAAGCCAAAAGATACTGTTGAAACAAATCAGAAGACTCATGCTATATATTCTATACCATGCGGTGACTGCGACAAAGAGTATTTGGATCAGTCTAAACGCCAGTTTGGTACACGACTAAAAGAACATCAAAAGGCTGTTTCAACTTTAGACAAGGGAAAATCAGCTTTAGCCGAACATGTATGTTACACGAAACACGAAATTGCGTGGGAAAACTCTAAAGTACTTCCCACAAACAATCGCTATGGTCAAAGACTTTGCCTAGAAGCGTGGCATATAAATATGAGTCATCATATGAGTTCAATTACACTTGCTCCGAACTTTATCGAATTGATATTGGCAATTAGACCGGGAAAACAAATTTAGCCTGCACCTGCCCTCATTTAAAACATTTGTTATCTCCACAAATATGAGTAACACGTGACCAGTGTGGCTCAGGGTCTTTGCTCAAGCGAGCTGGGAGCATAGAAGAAAGAGTCTGGGTACGAGAGGTTGTGCTTAATTACCTCTGCAGTGACGTTTCTTTCCAACTCTTGATAAACTGGCGAAGACGTGTTCTTTAACTCTTCAGTAAACGTATTTTCCAAAGATAATTCAACTACTATCACGATAAACTCTGAAATTAGTGAAAACCCAATCGGTAATTTAGTCAATAGCATTGCTATTGCATGAATATCAGTGATAATTTAGAAAAAGAAATTTGATTAAGTTAAAGGGAAAGAGCATAAAAATTAAGTTTCTCCTATTCGCTACAAGGATTCACTAAATTTCAACCATTTTACAAATTTTCTTTTTCGTTCTCGGTAGAAAAGATATAATTTCAAAACGAAATCAGTATGCATTTCGCCATCTTAGATATGTGTATCGATCGTCGAATATGCTTGACGTCACAACTAGAGTAACATTTTGTATCGTGAGCAATTCTCAGCGGATTTTTAAAAAGTTAAATACTATTTTTTACTATTTCTTGTTTTAAAATCAAAGCATAATGTACGCGAAAAATGTAAATGAAAGCATAATCTTTCCGCTGATAATACTTTTATTTTTAAAATATTTACCCCGGTTGGTGACGTCATTTAATTAAACAAAGATAGTTTCGGAGAACTTACAAAAAGGGTGTGTAAATGGTCATAACATTTTTTTCAAATTAGGCAAACATATTTTTGTTACCATTTCGTTTAAATTCATGAAATGTTAACGATGGCCATGGCCAAGAAGACGCACAGACAATATTACACTTGACGATGTTTAAATTTTAGAGAGAATATGACTATCCAGTTTCCGATAATTAGCCAAGTTTGTTGTTAGTTGAAATCATTTAGGTATTCTCGGAATATTGAAAGATCTGAGACCAGTTATCTAGCACTGAAGAAGTCCATTCAATTTATTTATTTTAAAATTATCGCAAATTTTATTAAAATGGCTATACCATAAACATACAGCGTATTATGCAAAGTGTCAAAAGGTTTCATCAATGAAACGGAACCAATCATCCGATACAGCAAATTTGAAAATCGTCTTTTCTCAGCATTATATTCTGCAGTCGACAAATCTGCCGGATATTTATAATGAATTCCTATTACCTTACCACGACATGGTTTATGCTTTTTAATTAGAAGATTTTATCTACAAAACACTGTACCTATACAGGTCACTCCGTCATAATAATATCTTTTATTACAAGGACATGATATTGTGTCAGACGTCAATTGTTTACATGTTGAATTTCCAGGACATTCATCAGATGGACATGCTCCTGTGAGATGTAAACATATTTGAGTTTAGATCCATTTGTTTTGGATAACTTATCTATACCTAAAAGTATGAACAGGTAGTGCAATCATCTTCACCAAAACATCGTTTCATCTCAGCATAGTTAATAGAGGAGATGGTTTGGAAACTCATTAGCATTACAATAACCCTCACTATCTATGTTTTTGTTCAGGTTTATGCAAAAATGTGGTCTTTCATCGTCACGTGCGTATTGTATTTTTGCTCAACCAGCCAGTAGCAACGGTTTTGTCCAATTGCCCATCCATGACTTTAACAATAAGACATTTTGAACATTCCTGTTGGTTGACTTGAGAAAAATACAATACGCACGTGACGATGAAAGACTACATTTTTGCATAAACCTGAACAACATAGATAATGAGGTTTATTGTGATTTTATTGTAATGCTAACGAGTTCCCAAACCATCTCCTCTATTAACTATGATCTCAGCTGTCCTTATTGAACGATTACTTCGTTTTACAAAAAGACAATAAGCTCAATCATCGTGACTGTGGACATATTATTAACATAAATCAAATCATAGCCTATCGAAGGGAAGATGGCTGTGAAACTCATTAGAATAACAATATAACTCATTATCTATGTTGGTCAACGTTTATTCATAAATTTGGTGCTTCGCCGTCACTTTCGTATTGTATTTTTGCCCAACTAACCAATTATGAATAAACGTTGACTAAGGGGCTGTTTATATGGGGCGAGCCAGCTCGGGTAGCCGAGCTAGCTCGCTTTAGGCGGGATCCCGTCTTTGTTAATATTTCCTACTAAATTTCATGTTGCGTTTATATTAGAACCGAGCTGGCCCGCCTAACCGAGGTCCCGCCTCGTGTGACCCGAGAACTCGGGTAAACGGGCTGGGTAGTTTTCCATATAAACGCAACAGGGAGGGCTAGCCCTCCTAGTAGGGCTGGAAATTTAGCAAATAGGCATTCGCAAATAATTAGAATAATTCAGAATGCACAAACAACTCTCATATAAGGAACCAACGTCCATATATGGAGTTGTTTACGCCAAAAAAAATTAGAACAAGAAGAGCAAGCCCTTCATGTAAGTTTCATGTAAACGCATGGTGAAATTCATCTCGGGGATGCGAGCCAGCTCGGGTACCCGGGCTGGCTCGCTTCCATATAAACAGCCCTAACATAGATAACGAGTTATATTGTTATTCTAATGAGTTTCACAGCCATCTCTCCTTCAATAGGCTATGATCAAACAAAACCATAATACAATGACTTATATTCTGTTTACTTTCTAGACATCATATCTTGATATAATATGATAGAATTAAAGTTGAGGAACATTTCTCACATGCGGCTAAAGAGAAATTAGAAACTAAAATCCTCATATGTTAGTCTAAATTTATATTCCTATTTAGTACGTGCTTCTAAAAACGCGAATAAATCCAATGCAATTTTGAAATATTTTCAAAAAAATTTATTATCAGTTTGTAATCGCGGTCATGATTTTCCCCGTTCCACGAACAGGGCGTTTTGTAACCCATTTACCTGTGATAACAACTGTAACAGCATCTGGGTCAACTTTAAAATCACCAAATGAATTATTTCTGACTGCCACCAGTAAGTCACTGATTCCTGTCGTATCTGTATCCGTGAATGTTATCCCCAAATCTGCGATAACGCTTCCATTCCTGTGCAATTTGAAATGAACAATGCTGTTCAACGACTATGAATATTTAAATCACAAGTACGATACAAAATACAGCTTTCTATTTGACGCTGTTCTTTGCGTTCTTTTCTCTTTCACGTCAGCGGTAGCGTCTGATTGGTGCTTCGGTTGATTGGGGGTATTTGATTTTTTCTTGGAGAATGCGTTGCTATCATCTTGGACCAGCCTGTGTAATTGGATTGAACTCACCCGCTACGTCAAATACGACGATGTTAGGCGTGATTCGATTATAAATTTCCTACTAACGTGGCACAAACTTAGTTTTCTGATTGCACAATTTAAGTATTATATACCGAATATATACTAATTATATTTTATTCGTCATCCCTATGACGTTCCTACAGCCTTCCTTCAATTTCAACATTTACGTAATAATACTGACTTAATTAAACTCATCCAACGTTTAGCCGCGTTGTCATATCCATAAACACCAGTAATATCACTACCTCCAATTATAGAACCATAGCATCCAATCAAATACCCCCAGCCAACCAAAGCACGGATCAGGCGTTAACATTGAACACAAAACAACTGTATTTGAAAACATTTCCCCATTTTCCCCATAATATCATATACTGATGTATACACACTTTTTATACCTAACCAGGAACGGTTGCGACTCAGTTGGTTAGCGCACTGCGCCAGAATTGCAGCGCCGCAGGTTTATTTCTTGCCAGAAGACCTGCATGGTCATGCACTCTTCGCAACCGTTTCTGGTTATGTGTAGAACTAGTGTGTATACATCGTCACTTAGATTGTCCGTCTACTCAAATGTTTAGTTTCAATCAAGTGAAGTACAGAAAAATCTTCATAAGGCTTGTAGCTATATATATTTGAAAATATTTGTTGGTTAAATATTAATTGAGCTGTTTCATTTGATGAGTTACTATAAGCCATAGCGGACACACTAATATTAAGAAAAAAAATACTTCCAAAATAAATCTATGGAACGTCAAGGGCCAATTAACAGCCTCGAATAAAACTTACGTCAGTCTTTCTACTTCCACCCCAAAGTAATTATCATTGTTTGCGTAAATTTTAACCATCTAAAAGAATATTTTATATACACATAGTCACTTATATTGATAAACATACATTCGACGTGAGGGCATTGAAGAAGGATGCAGACGGAAAGTCAAGCTATAAGTAGTCAATTTAAAAAATTGTATTGATTCTGAAACTGCATGGCTAAATTGGTTGAAAGTTGTCTGTAAACACAATAGTATTTTTTCTGGCCAATAATATGGAGACACGTAGAAGATTTCAATACTAATTTCACAAAGGTGGGGGAGGGGGGAATTAAACGTATAATCAAGCATAGGTATATACGGGGCGGATGCTTTCTGAGGAAGGCAATTGAAAGTTTGCCCAAATTTAAATGTAAAATTGAATTTAGTGAATATTTTCTGATATATCTGCCTGAATTTTACTGACTTTTCCTAGCATTTAGCCTAATTTCCACAGTGTTCTAAGGGGGCAGTTGCCCCCCGTTCTCCTCTCACGGGTGCCTATGGTAACACGCCAATAAAAAAGCGTAGCCTGCAATTATTGTGAGAAATTTGCACTACGGTTTTAAATACTGCAACTAAAGATAGGTAATGAGACCATTGAAATTTTGTGACGAATTTTGTCTCTGACCAAAAACCTTGACGAATGTCTATAAAAAACCCGCCAGTGAAATGGCTAAACACTGCTATACTATGTTTGCGATGTTACTCTGAGTGCATATCCACACCGGGCGAGCTTGAAAAATATGCCCGGCCACGGTGGCATTCGAACCTACAAGCTTTGGAATACTAGCCCTGAGTACACAACACCAACACAGAAAAAAAAATCACTGCTATACTAGTTTCTACCTATAAAGGTTGCTGAAACTCGAACTAAGTTCTGGATAAATAAAGTCATCGCTAGAAATCACGGACATTTGGAATACAGCATGCATTCTCGCCCCAGTCCCCATGTTCGCTCTTATTTTCAAATTTTATCTGGAATGTAGATGGTTATCCACTTTTAACATAAAATATATTTTAAGAATCATACTAAATTAAAATTGTGCATTGTGGAAACAAAATTCCGTGAACTAAACAAGGAAATAAGAAAGAAAACTAAAACCAATAATAAAATATAATGATTATTTACGATACTTAAAACTGGGCAACAACGCAATTAAATGTGCGGCAGGATTTCTAACTAATTTATCAAAACGACAATAATCCACATTTTACAAAGTCAAATTACGGCTTAATGATCGATGAACTTAAAAATGTGCAGTAATATTTAAATAATATGCAGATATTAGTATCGGAAACAATTGTTCGCATATCTTAATCTGTGGTCTCAATGTGTATTTGTTTCATTCCAAGTTTGCATAAAATCGAAGGTTCGTTTATTGGACACGATCATCAGGTTCTAATGTTGCGGTCTGGCGATGATTTTTTAGGCAAAAATGACCCAACATATATCATTCGAAAGCTCTTTTCTTCTGTTCTTTGTTTGTTTACATTTTGTAATCCTTTTAGTACGATTACATTTTGTCATAATCCTTTTTGTAATCTTTTAATAATGCTTTTAGTTATATTTAGAATAATAAATTTCGGGGATCGAAAGGAGTAATAAGGGACATAGACGTAAGGGATGTTTCGGGATTCAAATGCCCGAGATTTCTAGCGATGACGAATTATGCACATTGAATGGTATTGCACAAAAAAATGAAAATAAGACTGTCTGAATAATCGCAGGTTTGAAAGCGAATAGAAAAAGTTAATACTAGGGGCTGTAAGAATAAAATGTTGTTAATAAATTATTAAGAATCCACAAACCGCTGCTGTTATCTTTTTTTCAAAATCTATGAACTCTTGAGAGTTTTTATTACCAAGTGCACTTGTGTAGACTTCGTTCAGGCGCATATTTACACGATGGCGTTTAAAACCTGAAATACAAAATCAAATTACTTTCATACGTCGGGGTACTTACTTCACGTCCTAAAGGAAGAAAGGCAGCTAGCCGTCTCAATATACTTATCCCGTTTTTTTCAATTACTAAGTAACTACTGCGAATAAAAAAATGGTTGGAACCCAAGTGAAGATGTTACGAGAGGTTTGAGCAATGCACCAGACTTGTACATAATAGCCTATCAACAATATATTGCTAGCTGCAGCTACCGTATTTTTACGAGTAGTTATAGATTTTTTTGTTCTTCAATTTTCACCAAAAGCAAATTCGCCCCAGGCTACATCCGCATCAAACGTTGACACGGGCATTGCACGAGAGTGGAATGGCAAATCTATTCTATATATTAAATATTTCTTCCAAAAGGGATTTACAAGTAATTTAATTTAACAGTGATTTTCATATTTTGTCATACTGATTCTGTTAGAAATCAGCTACATTGTTTACAAAAAGATATGAAAAGGCAAACCTTTAATACATGCACCATCACTATTTCTGATCCTTCCTTCGCAAACACATGTATAGGAGCCGATAGTATTGGCACAATCAAATCCAGTAGAGCATGAATATAGAGACGGGCTTTCACATTCATTTATGTCTGCAGAAATAATAAAAGAAAGAACACACGGCATACGATTTTAATGATGTCGCTTGATCTTTCTAAAGATTACGATTTACTGTCACTGGAAAGAAGTGTGTAGTATGGAACCTACATATAAAAACCGCACCGAATATGCCGAACAATTGCAAAAATATCGCCAATATTATGTTCTAAAGTATATTTAAGATTTTTGCAGCAATGAATTATAAAATAATTTGCAATTTCTCAAAAAGAAGCAAATTATTTTTCATTGCTGCCATTTAATCTTGACTTTAGAACAACAGAGTCTAAAATTGAAAGTTATCTACAAATAACTTTCAGGAAGGTATCAGGACAATACCTTCCTACAAAAATTGCAGTGTATATATTTGGACCAAAGAATCTCGTAATAAACCGGAATTGCAGACATGGATTGTCAAACTGATTGACTCATGTTTGCTAAAATAGAAGAAGAATGGACAGCACATATTCATCAATAATACTTTAATTCTATATAAAACTAAAATTTTTATTAATTTGTATATTATATAGAATATGAACATATATGGTATTAACAGTTTTGAGCAGCCTTCAAAAGGTTTGAAATGAACTTACCTTGTTAGATGTATACAAACCTGGCTGGATGTAAATTCGTCACGTCGTGATAGAACGTATCTGGCATTTCGTGAAAATATTCAGTTTTCATGAAAACCATCGCCTTTAGAAAGAAACAAAAAGATCAAATTTACACTAAGGTCGAAATGAGAGCGAAATTCAGGTGACTGGCAGGGTCGGAACTACTGGAGAGTGTGGTTGTGGGGAGGGGTGAAACACGCACTCAAAAGAAAAGTCAAAAAAGGAGCCCAACTTTCCCAGGGGGGAATCGAAATGCTGAAATTGCGGAACGCGTTAAATATTAAGAAAGTTTCTGAAACATTGAGGGCGAAAAAGGTTTGAGGGGCCCCGAAAGGAAAGGGGCCCAATTTTTTATTTCTTCCCCACCCCCTCCCCCCACCAACCAGATACCGATCTGCACGGCTTAGGCGACTGCATGGTGAATACAAACAATAGACTAAGTCGGTTAGCGACAGGATGACACGCATGTGCCCTATGGAAATGTCAACTTCTTTAACGCACCAAACTGCATTGAATGTCATGAACATATCATATTTATAACTACTTCGGGGAAAACACAGCTCAGCTTTGAATTAATACCGTCTGACCTAATTAATGGGGCATAAAGCGCTGCCCCACTTTGCAACGTATCTTGCAATGGTTACATTTTTTAATCTCACTTGCATGATCATGTATAATAGTTGCTGGCATTTTTTTGCGTTTCTAGCTGGTGGAAAATGTTTCCTGGGAAATAGTGAAATTTTGACTTTTAGTTGCTCAACAGAAACATATATTGCGAAACAAGTAACGGTCCATTTACACGATATACGACTCATCGTATTAAATTTCAGCGAAGGTAAACTGAAGCAGTGCTATTTGGAACTCATAAGAATCTATCCCTGCAGTGACTGTCACGGATCCAAATAACTATAGACCTATATCGATTTGCAAAGTTTTCTAACAAAGCACAACATAATTTACGATTATCAATTTGGATTTAGAAAAGGGCATTCCACAGAACAGGCAATATTAGAAACAACGGATAATTTCAAAAAGTCAATTAATAAGAACGAAGTAACATGTGGACTATTTCTGGAGTTCTCTAAAGCTTTCGATACTGTAAATCACGAAATTTTACTATCCAAATTATATAGATATGGAATACACTGCTCTGGTTTCAAGATTATTTAACTAATCCCTACCAATATGTAAAGTTCGATAACGTTGAATCTGAACAGCAAAAGATGATATATGGAGTCCCTCAGGGATCAACATTGGGGCCTTTGCTGTTCATATTGTATATAAATGAGTAAATGACATGCCTAACTGTTCAAAAAAGTTTTCTTTTCGAATATTTGCTGACGATACGAATATATTTTATTCGCATATATCTATAGATGAAATTGAACGAGTAATGAATGATGAACTACATCATTTTATACAGCATTGTAATATAAATAAAATTTCGATAAACTACAATAAGACTAACTATATGGTAATTACATCTACAAAGAAAATAAGTCATGTAACGAGTAGCAATATTGAAGAAAAATTTTGTATACAATATTTAGGGGCTTATATATAGAAAATAAATTAAACTGGAAGTATCAAATAAAACATGTTCAATCAAAAATTGCTAAAAATTTAGGTATATTAAAAATACTTAGATATATATTACACTGATTTAAAGATACTTAAACAACTTTATTATACTCTAATATATCCTTATCTTAATTATGGCTTAATGAGTTGGGGTAATACATACACAAGTGTTCTTAGCAAATTGAAATCCTGTCAGAATGCATGTATAAAAAGCATGAGAGAAAATGCTACGCCATATTACAATATTCTAAATATTCTGAAGCTTAATAACATGTTTAATTTAAGTTAAAAATTGATATATTCACATGCAAGATTATTAATGATCAATCTAATATTCCTGTTGTTTTTGGTCAAACTATCCAGCTTGACTCCGCATGCCAATTCGTACAACACCAGATTTGCTGATAACCAAAATTTTAGTAGACCAAGAGCTCGAACTAATTATGGTGTTCATACATTCGATTTTGTCTCTTCGAAAAAATGGCAAAGTATTGATTCTAAAATTAAACTTGCAAGCTCAGTTACAAGTTTTCGGAAAAAATTCGCGCACTTTTTACTTTTTTCACAAAATTAAATACCTCAAATCATCTATCTCGCTCCTAGTGAACTAGGTTAACTAACTTATTGCAGGGGTCAACTCGAAAGCCACTGTGCACAACTGTTACTTTCATAACCGCTTATAATGTAATCTATGGTATTTAGCTTTTTGTAATATTTTATGTATTTTGTGTATTTATGTATAAATGTGCGAATCCTAATAAAATCCTAAATCCTAAAACTTACCGACTGACAATAAATACCGAACGTTCAACTCCACGAAATGAAACTGCTGTCCACAAAACACACATTTGCGAATCGACGAAATGAATGAAGCGAGACCCAAAAAGAAGAAACGTCTACTCCAGAACATGACACGCGAGCTAAAGATGTAAAATGTCGAATAAAAGTCAGGCGCTCCGCTAGGGACGGAGTAGGAGGGGGAGGAACACCCTCAAATCGTCACGTTTAGTCGACAAATTATTCTATATATGGCATTAAATATTGGTAGTAAAATATTAGTTAATTGGAATTTTTTTAATGTTGGATAGTGGAAATAACTCGGAAAATTTCACTTACAACCCCCTTCCCCCCGGACACCCTCCCCCCCACACACACACTATTTAAAAGGGTGAGCGTAGACCCTGATAAAACTTCGAGTCCAATGCATAAAACGAATTTCAAAAGAGCATTCACAACTATCTGTACCAAGTTTAATACTACACAACTCAGGCGGCAGCCTGTCAGGTGCTGCTATTAGCCGTTATTGTATGTCCAAACTCAGTCCCGGAGTAATTGACTTGTTGCGGTCTGGCGTCACCTTGGCTAATCTAACATGTTCTTATTACTTTTAGGTATGATGTATAGTACAATGGAGAATCTTCTAAAGTAAATAAATTGGCAATATGGACCGCTGTTCATTATTACAAATCGGCGCTCTACGATACAGTATAAGTATTCTGAATTTTGTCGCTTCTTCACATAAAGATGTCGTTAACAAAGGAGCTAGTATTCCTTCTGTATAAAAATCGGATGACCATATATTTAAATTCATATGTTGGGAATTCTCACAGTACATAATCTTACCATTTGTGTGCCCCAAAAAAATTCACCTATGGCACAAAAGGGAATTGCCGCGCATATTTGGCAGCCTATTCCAGTATATACTAGTGCCGACGTTCATACCTACAACACCAAATGTTCATGAAAACAAAAGCACTCGCAATCAGCTGCATCTCACATCAACGGTGAGAAAAGCAGGAGAAAGATTGACACTCAAAAGAATGTTTTAGCTACAGTGACCCTTGAAAACACAAAGCGGGATTAACATTTTGTTTTGGAATGTTATTTGATTTTTTTAACATTCTTGAGATCGACATTTCAGATTATATCTTACTTTGTTTAAAAAATTACTTTCGGTTTCGATGATAACGAATATTTTTTCTGAAAAGTATTATCGTGCGGCTAAAAGCTTAAATTAATGAAACATCGAATATGTATGCTTGAACATTATTCTGACAGATCAAATATTGTTAAAACGAAAAAATAAAACCTAACCTAAATTTTGTTAGTATCGTTAATATGCCAAATACACCTACAGTTGTACAAAGTTTGTTTCTATCTAACAAATTTGATAGTCCTAGCTTCTATAGTAAAGCCTAGTTTAAACTATCAAAATTTCTGTGATCTCATGGAAATTTGCATAGTTAAATTTTATGTTTTGAAAAATTCGTAAGAAACATTTAAGAGAACTAACTCGGTGTTTAACACTGAGTCAATCCCGTCAAACAATTCTTACAAATCTTCGAAACTTAGAATTTACCACGGCAAAATTCTCACTGTTGTCACAGAAATTTGAACAATATAGAGCAGGTTTAACACATAGTGTGATTTCGTTTAAATTCCTGTTATTTGAATATTCTCCCCGTTGAGATCTATGTCTTGTTTGGAATATTATTTGTTCTTTTACAACATATAATACGTAGATCTCTTCATGTAATTATGTTCATCACAATCCAACATTACAGAATGTAGATGTTATACATGCTAAGAGTATATATTGAACACGCGTAAAGCACTGCATATCACTATTGGAATCAGTGAACATTTCTCTTAATTTGTAGAAATATCCATCTCGGTAAAGTCTCCTTTACACATGCACTTGCTTAGGCCAGGAGTGAGAGAATGACAATGTTGAACATATTTCCAGTAACACAAGAATTTATATATGCTGCATATTTAGGAAAATGCAGGTAGCCTCGTGCAAGTGTCGCACAGCTATGATCGAGTCAACCATATTGTATCATTTGTTATTAATTGGTCTATATTTCATAAAGGAATGAAGTTTAAAGAGATAAATCTTTACAAATTTATATAGCCTTATACTTACGTAAATCAGGTATCGAATATAACAATAACCATGTCCATGGATAAAACACGAGTTGGTATATCTATGTTCTTGGACGAGTATTGGTGCATCTAATACCTAACACGGAAGTATAACATAATAAATGAACTGGTAAATTTATGCATATTTGAGCATGCCCCATGACGGTGTAATTATACAACTAATTCAATATGGAATGTTGTCATCTTTCAGCAATGTAAATTACAATATTGAGTTACCCAAACAGGATTAATTTTAGATTAACCAGGAAATTGTTTCACCAAGGTGTTTTAGACTGTATATATATATATATATATATATATATATATATATATATATATATATATATATATATATATATATATATATATATACTATATATATACTATATATATATATATATACTATATATATATACTATATATATATACTATATATATATATATATATATATATATATATATATATATATATATATATATATATATATATATATATATACATATATATATATATATATATATATATATATATATATGTGTATATATATATATATATATATATATATGTGTATATATATATGCCCCCATCCTAGTAGATATATGTACGCTGCTTCACTCGGTGTTGTTGAGCACTCTGCGGAGTTGTTAATGGTGTATGTTAGCGATAATGCAAAGTTCACTTCCCTTGTGGTCGTTTTAGCATTCTGGGCCCAGTACACTCTGCGCATGTCGGGATGCGTTGATGTACCACATGCCTTGGTGATAGCGAGCTCGTGTGATATAAATACGAATGTATCACGTATCTAGACGTGTACGTACCAAGCTGTTTTGACGAGATATAGAGTGCCGAAGTGTCTCACTGAAACCTAACTTTTGGGATTTTCAAAGACAAAGCAGAAAGAATTTTGTTTTGCAAAATTATTTGTTCTCTTGGTAATAAACACAATAGATCAATTTAGTTAGATGACATGAGCTAATAGCGAGCAAAGAATTTGTCATGACACGTAAACATAATAGACCAATTTAGCTTAACCACTATATTAGATGCAAGTTGACATGAGCTAATAGCGAACAAATAATTTGTTATGACACGTAACTAAAATGGTCAACTTGCGTCTACTAATTGTCATGCAGCTAAATTATTATTTGTCCATGCTGAGCGTTCTTTATTATCTCCGCCAGGAGCCAGGGAATTCTATTTTCCTCCTCGTTTGTAAGGGTGTGTCTGTGTGTCAGCACAACAACTACCAAACGTATCAATGCGGTAATTTCTGGAAATATTATGCACATTGCGCAGGGAGAAATTAATTAAAGATGTGCAGCCTCTGAGTGCTCTCTATAGTTTATTTTATAAATTTATGTATTATGTGTGCATGCATGAAATCCCACTGTTTAAAAATATTAAAATTTTCCTTCGAAGCAATTGCCGTATAAATAGCATAATCTATTTATTTTGAAAATTGATTAGTCAATATTTTGCGGAGTCCCTTTTTGCTAACTGCGGTAGGAGAGAATGATTCTGTAAACGGACAGCCTACCTTTTGAAATAATGGGACAAGTAAACCGCACAGACTTCGTGATGAGCCTTTTCCAGATTAGAAAATAATTTGTCAAGATCGATATGATGGACTAGCAGCGCGGCAAACTTCAAAGCTACAAAATAGAAGGTCTTTGTTTGATGTTGGATTGTACCTACCGTGCACAAATCCTTTGTCTCAATCGCATTAAATATTATTCATCACGGTTGCATTTCCAGACGATCATATCTTCGTTGATTATGATTAGAAAAATTATTTACTAGCGTTTGGTAAGTGCGTCTATATTTAAATTTTTAATTTTTTTTGTTTAACTTCGCCAAACACAAACACAAACACAACATAGAAACGTGACACACTAACAGTGACAACGCACAAACACCAAAGATATAGTTTTACTTCTATAGTGTGTTTTCACGCGAACCGCTGTGACGTCACTAGAATTTAGCGTCCGCCATGTTGGTGGAGTAAAACGCGTCACGTGCGAGGAATTTACTAGTGTTTACTATAGCTGTGCCAAATCTGTTCGAAATATTCCTCAATAAGCCGGCTTTTTTGTAGTTTTAAACAGTTCAAATGACAAATCTAAAACGTAAAGATCTTTCTTTCTGCCGAGTGCCGAAAGTTATTAAAAATCAAGGCGAGGAAATGGAGATTTTGTGAACCAAACGCAGTCGAAGAATCGACGAAGATGGCTGTCGGCCATATTAAATTGGAGTCGCCGGAGAATACAGAAGAAATGGTCAAAGAGAAGTTACAGAGAGTAAACGAACCTGGCGAGGTTGTTAAATGTCTATTTGATCCTATGACTATGGACGATATCGCAGACAATTTTCCAGAAAACTTGAGAAACGCCGGCCATAAGCCCATAACACAAACAGACGTTTCAACCACAACAGTTGGCATTCAGGCAAGCGAGTCATAATTCTATGCTTCAATCCGAGTTTTAATTTCTGGGTAAACCATGCTCTGCTGACTTTTATTGATATACAAACTAATCTCCTTGCAAGGGCACGGACGTTTTCAAGTTACAAGCATCATAACACTGTTAAAGTGTTAATTGGAATTATTGTGAACACAAGGTACTGTACAATTTGCTTTGTCAGTGAAGCTTGGGGAGGGAGGAATTCAGATACGTTTCTGACTGAGAACTGTGGTTTACTGGACAACCTTATACCAGGTGATTGGTTCTGGCGGATAAGGGTTTCACTGTCCATGAAAGTGTTCAGTTTCACCAAGCCAAATAGTTGAACATTCCGGCATTCACAAAAGGAACAGACAAGAAAGATTGCTACTGTCCGGATACATGTCGAAAGAATTATTGGTTTACTGAGACCGAAATATACCATTCTTCAATAAACTTTGCCAACTGAATGAACTGATTACCTTATTTGCAGAAAAAGAGAAGCTGTTCCTCTCATTGACAGAATGATTAAAGTTTGCTCTGCACTAGTAAACCTTTGCCTTCATACTATATACCTTTTGATTGAAGTAAAGTATTTTACAACATTAATTATGTTTTCACCAAGAAACAGAAACACATTCTTTCAACATTTGAAAATTTGTGGTCAAGTCTGAGAACCTCCTCATGGTGACCACTGGGCAACAGCATGTTGTGTAAATCAGGGGTGGATTATATAGTAAGCTACTTTAATTGTACTTTGTCAAAAAGAGACCCCTTTGCAGCTGCAAAGTAAAAAATCTACCCCTGTTTGTTTCACGACATGCTGGCTAATCTCAGCAATAATATTTCATGCAATTCTCATGGGGGCTTGTGATATGTGGAATAAATACATCATTATTTCAACTAGGCCTGTTTGAATACCATGAGCATGAAACAATGTAAAAACCATGTCTGTTGGGACTGTATTATTGGTGGGGGTTAACTAATTGATTGGGCCACCCAAAGACTTGGGGTAGGCCAGGGCAATAAACTATTTTAGGGTCCCATAGATATGATTTGACAAAGCCATATTTTGTGTAAAGTGCTGAGATTAGCCAAAAGGTTGTGCAAAAGTTTGCAATCACACAGGGGTAGATTAACACTTTAACAGACCAACATATGACATTGTACAAATAATATGCAAAATAAAATGTTGTCCAGTTAAACAATATAGGGGTCCTGGTATGCTAATCCGCCCCGTGTTTACACAACATGCTGTTGCCCAGTGGTCACCATGTGGAGGTTCTCAGTCTTGACCACCAAAAATGTTTAATGTTTATCAAAGTCTTAAGTCTGTAATAATTTTCAAATGCAAAAAGTTTGTATCTTTGATAGAGTTTTATGTATAATAATTTTAACAGTTACTAGTCAATAAAAATGCAAACTGAATATTGGTGTAAGCTTTTTTATTTTGTGCTCTCAGCCGTCGGAAAAAGAGTAATGAGACCAGCTTTCAGGCAAGCATACAAGTAAGTTCGCATCTGTATTAATACATGTACATTATTAAATCGTGGGATATTTGGATCCACCGATGACCGATCCATTGTGTAAACAAGACTTGTCGCAAAAGCGATTGCAAATACACCACAATCTGAATCATTTGATATATGATTAATCATTTGAAATACACCACAATCTGTATTCGAGAGATTTTGCATGTTCAGACAAAGGAATCTCATGAATAATGACTTTTTCTGCCTCGCTGTTTACGTTTAGTTTCGAATCGCTGGCCGCCATGTTGGAACTTCACTCCACCAACATGGCGGCGTATAAAATTAATTTATGCCGTGACGTCATGTGAATACACACTATAATCAGGCAGCCACAATATGCCGCAACTTTAATCTCTAGTTAAACATCAGCGTGCTTCTTCCCTCGATACAGTGCAAACGCCGGATTGAAATAGTTTTTGAAACTATTCAAAAAATCCAATTATTAATAACTAGTATATGAAGCTTGTTCGTGTGTTGTAACATGCTTAATGGCTTAACTTTACCCATGTAGAGATGGGTTGTTTCCTAAAGTCTCAGTAAGTAGAGAATCAACGTATCCGTCTTGAAAAAGACGGTATAAGGTATTCTTCTAATGCTTTATACGCTGCCAAACCCTTGTTTATCTGCTGTATCGACCACTTGGTCTGGTTTCCGTTTGGCTTCCTGTGGGTGACCGATCTGTTCCCTCCGGCGGCAATTTGCAAACTGCTGACGAATTCCTCATTATCTCGGGCTCGGCTCTTCTTGAGGATATCATATTAAAGTATCTTCAAAATATTGCTATGATATACTAAGAACTTTTGATATATTGCATGAGTTAGTCTGAACAAATTATTTCAAGGTTTATATATTGTATTGCCTTTCCTATACTTTATGCTTTGTAATTAATTTATGTAGTTTTTCAATGTACCAATACTGGTATTTGTTTGAATAAAGTTATTATTATTACACATAATCCAAACGACACCTTTCCCGTAAGTGTCAAAACTGCCTGCGCATCCCTAAATTTACGTACGCACCTATTACTGCTTTTTATTAAAAGCGCCTGTAGAGGAGGTAGATTTACTGACTAAAAGATTGATGACTAATTATATATTGTGACGAATTTAGAGTTTTTTGAGCAAAAGCGATATTGTTCTGGCAAATGTTTTGAGTTATTATCGGCGTCTTTCGTGCATGCAGTGTGCCAAGACTCTATAATGTCGATCTGTGTCGATAGCTTCCTTTGTCAATTACTTTTCCGTTTTTGAAGTCAATTTTGTGGTCGTTTGCCCACGCATGGTTCGCGATATCAGAGCCACTCTTGCATTTCTTCACAGATTGAAGGCTCTGCCTGTCTCGCCAATGTAACACCACGAGCAATCTGAACAATTAATTTGATAGACTATGTTCGTCTGGTTCTCAGGTAGTGGTCGGTCTTTTGTAGAGGGAAACATTTGTTCTACAGGGTGTCCCAAAAAAACCCAAAAGCATTGAAATTAACGCATTGTTTGAATTTGAATGCCCTAATACTAAGCTAAACACACGAGTGCATGAAAGACTGACATAACTGTCAGAATTATGGTAATAAGAAGCATTTTAAAATTCCCATGAGCAAAAAAACGCGCACTTTACAAAGGAATGCAGTATTTATTAATCGCCTCTTAAAATTTTATGCATCTTTGCGTTCAACTAAGTGCTCGGGCATTCAAATTCGAACAATGGTGTATTTCAATGATTTTGGGGTTTTTTGGGACACCCTGTAGTGTGCGGAGAGTGGAAAAACAATGGGAGCGCGGTGCTTAATGGGAATGCGATAGAATCTGAAGCGACTCGGAAATCCCGCATCCAAGATGGCGTCTATCAAGTAATGGCTGAGATAATGCAAATAGGGAGGATTTTTCAAGGTCGTTATGTATGGCGAGGAAACGTTAAAGTATATTTCCTGTTTATTGAAGAAGGGTACGAAGGTATGTTCATTTACATTTTACATATTTTACGCTCAGAAATGTATCGATTGTCGCAATTTATTAATATATGTGCATATTTAAAAATATCGATCTTGTTTTGACTGTTGTAGAGTGTAGAGTGTAGACATTGGCAAGTAGTTCTTGGTTCGACGTTTCTGGAGAAGGAACGTTATTTCCATATTTGGCCAAGATCCGAAAGAAGTTGCCAAAATATACGGAATGTTTCTTTTGCACTCTGTCAAACTAAAGACATACGCTGATCAAAATAATCCCTGTCGAATCTCAGGTAAAATATTGTTAAATTAATTTCTATTAATCAATCATTTTATAGCCTTTGCACCATGTGCAAGTAGCAAGGTTAAGGATGCCACTTTGAATATATTGTTAATTGTTTTCACCATTGTGTTTGCATAATTGCATCCCTTGCAAATAAGCAAATTTACCTATAAGGAATTTTATTGTTTGCACCCCTTGCAGGAAGGGTCTATGCCAGTCTATTGTTTTCAATTTTTGAGGCTTAACACCATACTGACTTGGTTTTATTAATGCAATTTTCAAAACAAACCCTTGTGCACTTACTTAGCAATCAGCATCAGGTTTGAGTGATTCAAACAGTGATAGTACCTACCTTAAAAAAGGCTTGCTATACATGGGGATATCCCTCTTATCAGGCAAAGCCAGCTTTCACAGACACATCCCCCATGTTTGAACCTCTTTTAGCATAATGTTCTTATTAATAATTTCATTGGGGAAAAAACGTAGGTGTGTGGGGCCTAGCCAGGTACCAGTTAGATCATGTATCAAGGTTGCCAGATCTCAGAAGTGGGGGGGGGCAGCATAAGCCCCCCCCTTCTTCCATTTGTATGAGCAAACACACACAAAAGAACTGAAAAGTGCAAAAGCAATTCAAATTTATTCTTGAGACCCCATCCCAATATTGATTTACTTCTGACAGCCTTGTGTATATACATGTAATAAGTTTTCAAAAATATCAGATTTTCTAAGAAGATCTTTTCTTGTAGGCTACTAAAGAAAACAAGAAATGAAACAAGATGGAATGAATATTTATTAAATTACAGATTTTGATACAAATTTATTTATGATACAAATATATCTATTGTCTGAATATTATAAAAAGTACTCAGGCCAAATAAAAATAATAGTTGGCTTCAGGTTTCTGACTGACGTGTCAAAAATATGACCGGCCATAAACATATTATTGACATTTCCCAGTAGGGATCATCTTTTCGTAAATATCAGAATAAAATTAAAAAATAGTCATCAGACTCATTTGCTACAAAGTATTTTGTTTGCTCATAATTTAATCATTATCTAGTCATGTTAATTTAATCCTTGACGCATTTGTTTCTCGCAAAACATGTAGCTCCCGGTTGATCCCGTGTGGCACGTCTGATTATGTGTGACAGTTACTCATGAACAACTTATATTTATTGCATACTTGAGAAAAATTTTTTTTTAAATAAAATGCTTTTCCAACCTACCTACCCATATAAAACATGGCTGTGAAACCTGAAACCAACTATTATGTTTATTTGGCCTCAGTAATATAAGTACAAAATATGTACAAAATGCTCTACAATGTACAGACATATGTCACCATTTATTATAATCATATCTTCAAGGAACTTGTAAACATAATATTGCAGAGATCTGTAAAAAAAATGCTTTCATTGTTAATTCAGAGCAGGCACAGATTTTCTGTGTGTGTGTGTGGGGGGTGGTGCGCACCCTCCCAGAAATGATTTGCACCTCCCAAAGGCATTTGGCACCCCCGCAAATTACATATATTTCGATTTGATAGTTTCATATTTGATTATTCTTACTACTAAATTTGTAAAATTACCAATATTATGGTCTCAGATCTCGCCATGCAGGCCTAGAAAAAATTTTGTTAAACTTTTCCCTTGGCCTTTCTGGGCGTTGCTACCACGCCTCGGACAAAGCAAGCAGCAGCACCCTCCCCAGATATTATCCACCCCCTGAACGAAAATATGAAAATCCGTCTCTGACTCAGAGGGAAAGAAGTATTATTTTGTGTAGTAGTGGGATGGATTCACTTGGGGGTATTGGGGGAGGGGATTCTGTGTGAAATCCTTGACAATTATCAAACAAAATAATAAAGGGATGGATTAATTAACATAGTTTTTTTAAGATTTTATATTAGCTTTGTTAGTTCGGCCCTGACGATAACTCCATCACGACTCAGCTTTTATCATTGATAATATCAAAATATTGCCCAGCCCTATTTACTGGTGATGACGTGGTAATGCTGAACCTGGGGGGGGGGGTGTCTAGGTAAAACACTGAGGTTAAAATAAATCCATAACATGGAGGCCTGTTCAGAACTCCTAAACCTCAAATGCCGACGACTAACCAAGGAGCTAGAACCTGAGATCCCCATTGGCTAAATAATTTTCATTAAAAAAATTATTATTCAGCATGCATATTTCACATATTGCTATTTTAAGCAAAAGTGAAAAGTCTTACACATTTGGCAAAAACAAAGAGTAACTTAACTCTTAAGACCAACATAAAATATATTCGTTTTTGGCAAAACGGTTAGACGAGGTCGGTTCAGTTCATGTTTCCCCTGAGCAGGACTTCTTATTGACTTTATATTTGTTGACATGTTTAATAATTGGCGTATATATTTATATAAAATAGCGTATGGAAATTATTCTGCAGAATTAAATAAAAATAATCCGTATTATAGAGCATTTACCCAGCTTTTACGAAGTTGTAACTTGTAAAGGTGCAATCACTTTTATGAAACAGTATAAAACACGAAAACCTAATCAAAATCTCGCCTATATAATATATTTTTACAGTCGAAGGGTCAAAGGCATATTGCTATAAAATGTCAACACTCACCATCATCGTCTTCAAGAGATAAATATTCAATTAATATCTCTAATTCCTCGCACGATTCAGACAAAACACTTCCCATGTACAGCAAAGCACCGCTATCGCCCAAAACATCCACGATTTCTTCCATATTCGACGAATTTTTAGGTTTTCGAGCACATTTGCAAGTTTTCGAGTGTTTTTGCAAGTTTTCGAGTCACGATTTCACAGTCCCTCAAATCAGCGCTGCCTCAAATTACGCGAACGCGCGTACAAATGAGGGACTGTGGAAGAGTCAGAGGTTTCGTAGTTACTCAGATGTCATGACATTTCAGAATGCGTCTAAGTGGTTCTGTTAGTCCTTTGATGTGTGGTAGGACGGCGTAACTGCGATTGGTCTTCGGTTCCACTGAGTCAAGAAACGATCTTATTAGTTCTTCGGGTGGCGGCGTTCTGTTTTCAGACATGACACGTTTAGTGGCGAAGCTAGCCCAACTTTTGGTCATGCTATGCAAATATTTCTGTGTTCATAGACCGAGAAAACAACCAATTTCTAAAGAAATGAATAATGATAATGATCTCAAATTTGCATAGCATGACCAAATTGTCGGGCTGGCTTCGCCACTGGGTAACCGTTTGACATTAGTGTGTGGGTTACATGTTTGTGTTCTTGTTGTTTGCCTTCGTCCGTGTTTGGTAAAGTTGCTACACTATGTAAGAGAGTTTGTGCAGTGCTGACTTTGTGTCGTTTGTCATGGTGCGCGTTGAAATTATGAATCCCATCAAAGTTTTTAAGGTTACTCCACATGATGGAAGCTCACTTCATCAAATCGCTCACCGCGCGCTCAATTTTTTTTTTTTTCCGTCAAATTTTACATGCACACTGATAAGTCATTACTAAAGCCAACTGTTTAAGATAAATTTTGCATCTTCAAAAACTGTAAGAGCTGCGAGCGGCGTTTTTGAATAGGACGCTCTTTGCGTCATGAGAATTGCACGCTTCTGATTTAACTCGAAGACTTCCGAAACATCATATGTCCCATCTCAAATGATCAAAGAACAAAACCGTGTTCGCATTTTTTGACAGGTATTGTATTTGCTTTGATATAAACCAGACAAGTTGACTCTTCTAAATTTTGCAGAAGCTATAGAATAGAGGCCTATATCTTGAAAAATATTGCACTAAATTAAAAACGCGAACACGGTTTTGCTCCTCCATTAAGCAAAGTTGCAGAACCATCTAAATCGGCCAAACGACAATGTAAAAAAGGATCCATACATACTGCGGGATTAAAACACAAGCGAAGATTCATAAGTATCGTATTCGTCTGCACCTTGTCAAATACAACTACAACTTTCCCGGCAAAAAAAATTGCAGACATTAATTTACATTAATATCTCAGTCGTATTTTATTTTTTAAAAATAATTTTCGGCAATTAAGAGATCTCAAGCCCCTTTATATGAATCAATAAAAATGTCAAAAATAATGAAATAGCGATTTCATCATGTGGAGTAACCTTAAAGTGAGTCTGCCGACTGAGAAACCTCAAAATTCGAAATTTATATTTCGACGAACTTGAGTTTTGAGTGCTAGATACGTGACATACAGAAAATCTTCGTCTTAAAACTTTATAAACGGAACACTACTGTGTTCGAGGCAACATTCTGGACAATGAAATTGGTTTTTCATAACTCTGAGGATGGTTCTGAAATAGAATCGAAACACTGCGCGTCCTCCAAGACAAGACGAAAATGTTTCACGTGCACTTAAAATGGATAAATATCGCATTCCGCGTGCTTATTATGTGCCAATGTATTATTATGTACAATACTACGCATGACTAATATTCCTATTTTTTCAGACTCACTTCTCAAAATATTTCAAAAAAAAAATCAAGATTTGTATAACTTCATTGATGGTTCCCAAGTTGAGAAAGTTCTGGAATATTACACAGAAGACTGCATCATTCTGCCACCCGCTGGAGACACTATCTACGGAAAAAAAGGTTATATTTATATTTATTTTAAAAAGTAACAATTGTACGTGTGCGAGCATAGGCAGCCCAGTAAAAGTTGTAAATTTACATTAAATTGATTAAAACTGCAGTAAAATTGTCAAAACAAATGGCAAACATCACAAACTTGCGAAATATAGTCATTTCGCTGCCCGAGCAATTTAGTCGCACGTTCAGGACTATTTTCATGAAGCTATATAATCCTGGATAAGCGGGATCATATAATCAGCGCCATATAATCGACCATCTAGCTACAAAAATCGAAAATCATTTGAAGCTTCAAAACTATAATAAAGCAAATATAAACACAATTGTAAATATAATGATAGGCATATACGTATACGTAAATCATCGATAATTCAAGCACCATAACTATACGGCCTATTGGAAATGATTTTTTTTTTGCTAATTAGTGTCAATGTGTACAGTTAAATCAATGAAAGTCCATTCCGAAATCGTGAGCCGTAAACAAACTCTCAGCGAGCAACGATATTTAGGATATGGACTATTTAGGTTATTAAACTCGAGAAATTGCCTTTTGTACCAAGTAGGTTTTTCGGCAGTAAGTGTTTTATACGCCTATAAATATCGTTTGAAAGAAAGATGTTCGAAATTAGGGGATTAGTTCAAACTGAATTACTCAATTAATTCTCTGTGCGGGCGATTAGAGTTCTTCTTTCCGTGCAACTACTGCGCAATCAAAGAGTTTTCATCCAGCTTTTTGGGGACATAATAATTTTCTTAGCGCGACGAAGGATCTCGATTTAAATCTTCATTCTACTATCTTTTTTATTTTCCTGGATTGTTCAACTTAACGTTCCCTCCAAAAAAAATGAACTACATTTTATTGCCATGACAATAAATCTCTTCTCCAGACTTGGCGAAGTACATTGAAGATTTTAAGCACCTTTGTGATATGATTAAGAAGGAAGACTCCACGGAAGAGGAAGTGCTCGGCGAAGGAGATATTGTAACTTCACGAGCTTCTACAAAGGCATACAAGGAAGATGGTTCACTCCTTTTTAAATCAAAGTAAGTTTATATTTATTTATCTGAACACTCGCTGCCCCATGTCAGCCATGTTGTAGCCGAATTAGCAACTTGTTTAAAAAATGCAATGGCAAATGGAACCATTGCGTAGTTATTGCAACGACTAATGGCCACAATCGCTCGTACCATCATCATGATGCATGAATTGCCGTACAAGCGCGTATCCCTATCTGTTCATAATGAATTGATAATATTCTGGCATGGTAATACCAGTGGAATGCATTAATTGCCACTAATTGGTAACAGGGGATTAGACTCTGACCCTCAAACTGCAACTAAAATGGATCGTTAATATGTTAATTAAAGAGTGTATTTTCTTTCTTCAGGGTCTTGACGGTGTGGAAGAAAATCGATGGAGATTGGTTGATTTACCGTCTAATGTGGAGCTACGATAAGCCGTATGAATTTAACAAGAAGCAGAAGTAATTTAATTATCTTAGGATTTACTAGTTAGTGATTCTAATATTGCATTGCAGTGTAAACGATTAAATAAAAATCAGGGTGCATTTTATATCACATTCTTTTTGGTTCATTTATTTACCTATTCATTTATTTATTTTTTATGATTTTCCCCCCGTTTTTTGGTCTTGTAATCCCTGTAAATTTCCACCAATTATTTGAACTGGTGTGATGGTAGTCCAGTCCTCCTCTCGGTCATCGGGGCTAACACCTCACCATTCAAACGGGTAAGTATGGTGAACGAAGGTGTTAATTAAAGTGAAAGCAAAGCCCAGTTGAATTGCATGATTCTGGCGATTACGACTTTAAATATTGTTATTAACTTCAGGTATTATACCCATAATCATCAGCTGATTAAATATTATAGTAATTATGTATGGCGCGTTTTCACTGTCAAAATTCAATAGTTATAAATCGTTCACCAATGATGCAAATCGAGCAACACTTACTCGAATCGAGCAGACTGATATGTAAATCGATCATTGAAATCGATCAATATGCATTCAAATCGAGCAAACACTAGCCAAATCGAACGTGTATTTGTCAAATCGAACGTCTATTTGTCAAATCGAATATCAAATAGCCGCACTTGCGAGCCAATCAACACCTATTTGAATCGAACATACGTGTTTCAAAACGAGCATCATTCAGTCAAAACGAGCATCATTTTTGCAGCATGCGGTGTTTCCACTTTTTGCCAAACTGACTTCCACTTCCACTATCAAAATGGTGTTTTTCCGTTCAAAATTTCCTCCAAGCACTTGGAAAATGTTAATTCCTTGTTAATTCCATTAATCCCGAAATTTACTTCCTTGATGTTTCTTGCGTGGAATTTCCTTCAAATTTCCTTTGAACTCGTGCTTTTAATATATGTGCTGCTTTCCATATTCTGCGAATACAAAAGATTTCGGAGTTTTCCTGCGGTTTATTGCAAGGTAAGTGAAGTTGTTTTATCTTTATTAATACATTTAAGTGTTAAATATGATTAAATATACTTATCAAAGCCTTACGATTTTGTCGATTAATAGAATTTCGATAATTTCAATTCGCCAACAGAGTTGCCAAACCACGTGCTTTTTGTCAGCTACAGTTCACAGCATATTTTACTGATAAGTTTAATAAAGGATTTAGACACAAGTCCATTATGTTCTGTTTGGTCATTGAATATTGAATTGTAGTACATTTTTTAGCATTTTAAGTTGTAGGGTTGTGTTGAAAATATGGGTTTCAAAGCATGACAAAATTTGTATAAAATAATACTCAAACGGGGTTAATTATATTTGGTCGGTTGCCTTTGGCGAAAAAGATCATACACAATTCCCAGTTGTGGTATTCCGACTCTGTGAAAACTCTGCAAATAGCCCCCTACTTCAATGGCCCTTTCTCTAGAGTGCTGGCACTTAATTTGTTAATTATTAAGCAGAAATGCACCCAAATGTGCCCTATTTTGTTGTTTTACTCTGTCTAATGCCAGACGATTTAGCTTTAAACTCATCAAGGGAGGGGGGGGGGTTTTTCACTCTAATGTGTTAACC